ATTCATTTTGTTTTCATCTTATATAAATTTTACACATGCATAGAATTTTAAACATATTGATCTTTCTTGGGGTTGTCAGGGCTTCTTAACTCTGTGGCTTGAGGTCTTTTGTCTATTTTGGAAAATTCTGCATCATTAAGTATTCATATATTGCATCTGCCCTTTTCTCTCTTCCTTCTTTTTGGGGGACTTCTCTTGCACCTATGTTAGATGTTTTTCTTTTAATATTCAAATTTTATTGTTATTGGTCTGTTCAGATTTTCTACATCTTCTTGGCTTAGTTTTGGTAGCTTGTGTGTGTCCAGAAATTTATCCATTTCCTCCAGATTTTCAAATTTGTTGGCATATAGTTGTTTATAGTAGTCTCGAATGATTGCTCGTATTTCAGATGTATCAGTTGTAATATCACCTTTTTCATTTCTAATTTTTGTTATTTGGATCTTCTCTCTGTTTTTAGTCATCCTAATGGTTTGTCAATTTTATTTATCTTTTCAAGAAACCAAATTTTTTATTCATTGATCTTTTGTATTGTTTTTTGGGTTTCAATTTCATTAAGTCCTGCTCTGATCTTAATGATTTCTTTCCGTCTGCTAACTTTGGGTTTGGATTGTTCTTGTTTTTCTAGTTCTTTAAGGTGCATTATTAGATTGTTCACTTGCCATCTTTCCATTTTCTGAAGTAAGCATTTAATGTGATAAATTTCCCCCTTAGTACTGCTTTTGCAGTATCCCACAGGTTTTGGTATGATGTATCATTGTTTTCATTAGTTTCAATAAATTTTTTGATTTCCTGTTTGATTTCTCATTGGACCCATATGTCATTAAGTAGAATGCTGTTTAATTTCCATGTGTTTGTATAGTTTCCAGAATTTCATTTGTTATTGCTTTCTAATTTTAATCCATTGTGGTCTGAAGAAATACATGAGATAATTCCAGTATTTTTGAATTTGTTGAGACTTGATTTGTGACCTAACATGTGATCTTCCTGGAGAATGATCCATGTGCTGATGAGAAGAATGAATACTCTGAGGTTGTTGGATGGAATGTTCTGTAGATATCTGCAAAATCCAATTGGTCTAGTGTGTTGTTTAGGTCTTGTGTGTCTCTGCTGATTCTTTGCCTAGATGACATGTCCAATATTGAGAGTAGGGTATTCAGGTCCCCTGTTATTATGGTATTAGTGTCTATTTCCTTCTTTAGGTCTAATAGAATTTGTTTTATAAATCTGGCTGCTCCAACATTTGGGTGCGTATTTATTTATGATTGTTATGTCTTCTTGATGGATCAATCCTTTTATCATTATGTAGTGGCCCTCATTATCTCTCTTTATTTTTTTTAGTTTAAAGTCTATTTTATCAGATGTAAGAATAGCTACTCCAGCTCGTTTTTCATTTCTGTTTGCATGGTAAATCTTTTTCCATCCTTTCACTCTTAGTCTATGTGAATCTTTATAGGTGAGGTGGGTCTCTTGAAGGCAGGATATAGTTTGGTCCTCCTTTTTAATCCAGTGAACCAGTCTGTGTCTTTTGATTGGGGAATTTAAGCCTTCTACATTAAAAGTTGTTATTGAAAAGTGTTGATTTACTCCTAGCATTTTATTGATTTTTGTTTGGCTGTCTTAAGTGTCTTTTGTTCCTTTCTTTCTGATTTACTGTTTGTTTTCTGTATTTCTTGGTTCCTTGGGTTGTAAGTAGCCTTTTGTTTGTTTGTTTGTTTTCTCTTTATAGATGCCATTTTTATTATACTAGTGGGTTTTGACTTTTCTTGGGTTTTTATGGCAGTGGTAGTTGTTTTTCAGGTACCAAACCTAGTACTCCCTTGAGAATTTCTTGTAAGGGCGGTTGTGTGGTAGTGAATTCCTGCAGTTTTTGTTTGCCTGAGAAATATACTATTTGCTCTTCATTTCAAAAGGATAGCCTTGTGGGATAGAGTATTCTTGACTGGCAATCTCTTTCTTTTTGTATTTTGAATATATCATCCCATTCCTTTCTGGCTTTTAGGGTTTGTGATGAAAAGTCTGATGTTAGTCTGATTGGGGTTCCCTTATAGGTGATTTGATGCTTCTCTCTTGCAGCTTTTAAGATTCTCTCTTTGTCTTTGAGTTTTGCCTATACATGTCTTGGAGAAGACCTTTTTGGGTTAAAAGCATTTGGGGATCTTTCAGCTTCCTGAATTTGAAAATCTGTTTCTTTTCCAATAACTAGGAAGTTTTTTGGCAGTATGTTGTTGAATATGTTTTCAATGCAATCTCCTTTTCCCTTCCCTTCTGGAATACCCATGACTCGGATATTTGAGTGCTTAAGGTTGTCTGATATCTCTCTTAGATTTTTTTTCAATGCTTTTAATTCTTTTTCTTTTTTTTTGTCTGCCTGTGTTATTTCAAACAGCCCATCTTCAAGGTCAGAAGTTCTTTCTTTTGCTTCTGCAAGCCTGATGGTTAAACTCACTGTTGTGTTTTTTATTTCGTTCAATGAGTTCTTCAGCTTGGCAAGCTCTGCTACATTCTTTTTCAGGGCATTGATTTCCTTGTACATTTCTTCTTTCAGGTCCTGTATACTTTTCCTCGTTTCATCATGCTGTCTAGCTGAGTTTTCTTGTATCTCATTCAGTTTCCTTAGAATTATCACTTGAAATTCCTTGTCAGACTTTTCAAGGACTTCTTGTTCTATTGGATCTAGAGCTTGAGAGTTATTACCCTTTGGTGGTATACTTTCTTGATTTTTCATATTTCTGGTATCTTTCCTTTGATGTTTAGTCATTGTGGCAGGGGGTGTCACAGTCTACTGGTTTGACACGATTGTCTGACTAGGATGTTCCTGGGGTTGCCAATTTAGTATGGCTACCTCAGTGTCTGCTTAGTTGGCCACTAGTGCCTTGTGTGTGTAGTTGCCTCGGGCTCGGGCCTCTCCGGGGAGCCGCCTCTCTGGTCAGCATGCACTCGGCTGGGCTGGTGTGTTGTGTGCCGGCACCACAGTGCGTGTGGTCTCTGTGGAGCTTCCACCTCTCTTGCTGGACATCTCTGTGCTCTGCGCGCTAAGTTATTTCTTTTTAAACTTATCTTGGTAGCCTAGGAGATCCGGCAATGTTGGTTCTGTGAAGAGCAAGCGGTGTTCCAGTGCGCTTCTGCTTGGCCTTGGTTTTCTTGTAGGTCAATTGGAGAGATTGTCTGGAATCCAAAAAATAAATAAATGGGATTATATCAAACTAAAAAGCTTCTGCACAGCAAAAGAAACAGTTAACAGAGTTAAAAGACAACCAACAGAGTGGGAGAAAATATTTGCAAAATATACATCTGACAAAGGATTAATATCCAGAATATACAAGGAACTCAAACAACTTTACAGGAAAAAACAAGCAACCCAATTGAAAAATGGGCAAAAGAGCTAAATAGGCATTTCTCAAAGGAAGATATATGAATGGGCAACAGACATATAAAAAATGTTCAACATCACTCAGCATTTGGGAAATGCAAGTCAAAACCACAGTGAGATACCATCTCTCCCCAGTTAGGATGGCTAATATCCAAAAGACTGTGAATGATAAATGCTGGCGAGGTTGCAAAGAAAAAGGAACTCTCATACATTGCTGGTGGGACTTCAAAATGGTGCAGCCTCTATGGAAAATGGTATGGAGGTTCCTCAAACAATTGCAGATAGATCTACCATATGACCCAGCTATCCCACTGTTGAGAATATACCCAGAGGAATGGAGATCATCAAGTCAAAGGTATATCTGTTCTCCAATGTTCATTGCAGCACTCTTTACAATAGCTAAGAGTTGGAACCAGCCCAAATGTCCATCATCAGATGAGTGGATATGGAAATTGCGGTATATCTACACAATGGAATACTACTCTGCTATAAAAAGAATGAAATACTGCCATTTATAATGACATGGGTGGAGCTAGAGAGAATTATGTTAAGTGAAACGAGTCAGGCACAGAAAGAGAAATATCACATGTTCTCACTTAATTGTGGGAGCTAAAAATAAATAAATAAATACACAAAAAACCGGGGGAGGGGTGAGCGAAGAAGATACAACAATTACAATTCCTTGAAGTTGATACGACAAGCATACAGAAAGGACATTTTTAAGAGGGAGGGTGGAGGGAGAGAGGTTTCGGTAATGGGCTACAATAATCAACCACACTGTATATTGACAAAATAAAAAAGTTAAAAAATAAAAATAAAATAAATAATAAAAAAGAAAAAGAAAAAATAATCAAATTTTAATATTTTTCCATATTCACAGTTATTTCAAAGAAATAATATGTTACAGATAATGTTGAAGTGCCTGTGTATTTCCCCGGTATCCCATCCCCCTTCTCCCTTTTCTCACTACCCTGAATTTGGTATTTATCATTCCCAAGTTCTTTACCTGTGTTAGATCTTGTCTCTGTCGTGTAAGTCTTTGACCTTGTCATTTATGTTTTCTAAACTTTTGGTTCTCAGTTCTGCATTCTAGATATTTTTACTGTCCCTTCAGCTGAGTTTCCACTGTGCTGTAAACCTATTCATTAAGTTCTTAATTTTAATTTTTTTTTAAATCAGTTCCAGTCTTCTGTCTGGTTTTTTCTTTTCAGTAAGTCTAATACCTGGCACCTCTGAGGGGGTCTATTTCTGTTGTTTCATTTCTGGTAGTTTCAGTTCCATCTTGTTGTCTCCTGATGTGCCATTATGTAATGGACATTGTATTTAAAAATATATTTCTTGAATTGATTCGAGGGTAAGATGTTATCTTTCTTCAGAGATTGGGGGAGAGGGGGTTGTTCTGACAGGTAGTTGGGGTAAGTAAGTATTTGTGCTCACCTTAATCAACTTTCATTGGTTGAGGTGATTTCATGCTGAAATGCAATCTGTTTAAAAAAGAAAAAGAAAAACCAGAGCCCTTTATAGTTTACCCTTATTCCTGGGGTATTTACTGTTGGGATCCCAAGTGCGGCTTGTTTTCTCTGGACTCCACTTCCTGTCCCCTTCCCCTTATGAGGCTGTTGGAAGTGCCATGTGTTCTCTCGACTCTGCTCAGAACCTGACGGATGCATCAGGTGAGGCAGCCTCTGATCCATGGTCACCTCATCTGCACACCTGCATCATCTCCAACCTTCTTTAGATTCTGGCCTTGTAATTCCTTATTAGCTCCTTAATTCTGATACTTTTAAGATGATTTATTCATTTTTGAATTTTTTGTCTGGCTATTCTAGTTGTCCTCAATGGGGAAGACTAGTTGAATTTCTGGATTTGCCATTAATGGAAGCGCAAACACTTAAGAATTTTGATTTTTGCTGTGAATTTATTTATAAAAATCTTTTTTAATAGAATATTTTCTGTAAGCACTGCTACCAAACTTTTCCCACAACTTATTTGTACCCTTTTTGTTTGGAAATAAATATATTACTCTGCTCTTACCTGAGAGATTTCAGTGCAATAAATCATAGCATTATATGGTTTTTTGGAGCCAGTTTTAGTAGCTCCTTTTTATTTGAAAACTTTACATCTTTCTTAAAGTAAGAAACTCATCACTGTGTAATTATTCCTGATTTCTTGATCATGAAGGTTCTGCCCCAGTTCAAGTATGTCTTTTTGACTACATGAAATAGGACAGTCTGCAGTATCTTGTGGCCGTTCAGGAAAACAGCTGAAGCGTTGTCACAGCAGTCAGCCAGGAATGCTGCTGGACAGCTGGTCCCGCATGGTGAAGAGTCTAAATGTGTCGTCCTCGGTGAACCAGGCCTCTCGTCTGATTGATGGCAGCGAGCCCTGCTGGCAGTCATCTGGGTCACAAGGAAAGGTAGTGTGTGAGGGTCCACATCAGGAACACTTTTCTGAGATGATTTTGCAATTTAGATTTTCAAAATAAACTTTGAAAACCTACAAAGTTTTACTGATGGCACCTGTCAGTACTCATTTTATATTTTAGTTCATAACTTATTTCAACGTTACAGGGTGCCATCCAATTTTTATTGTCAGAGATTTTAAACAATATAGATAACAGATTTTATCTAACTGACCAATTGATAGAGGATGAAGTCGGGGTTTTTTCCCCCCTCTCCTAAAATGTTTGAATCAGATTCTGCTTCTGGTTAAAAGTTTTTCTAACATAGCCTATTAAACGTGTGTGGAGCTTTGGAGTGCTGTGGCGTGGCCACCTCAGGTGGGCACACGTGGTGTGGGCACACGTGTGGCATAGGCACCTCAGGCAGGCACACTTGGAGACAGGGGTCTTGCTTTGTCTTGATGCTGGTGAAATCACTTCCTCCTCCATGGGTATAAAAGGACCAACCTAGGTCAGGAGTCTATAAATACATCGTTTCTGGGTCTTAGAGTGAGACTTTCCTTTAATGAACAAGAAATGGGGTGGAATATACTTATTTCTGCCAGGGTAAGGAAAAATTCTCTCTCTCTCATGCCATGTTTTATATTTAACAAATCTCATGTAGATTCAAGCTTCAGTGACACTATTTTAGTGACTAGAATATACTTGAATTTTGCTGAGAATGTGTTCTTTGGTTTTTTTTAAGCACTGGATTCGTTTGGAGATTTTCCCAGATGTTCTTGTTCATAGATTAAAAATGACAGTAGACCCCGCTGACAGTAGCTACATGCCTTCCCTTGTTGTGGTATCAGGTAATTGAGTTAATTAATTCAGAAAGAGGTATATTCTGTTATGGAATAAGAACGCCTTTTTTTAATTCCTTTACCCTTTTTTTCCTAGGCGGCAATTCCCTAAATAACCTAATTGAACTGAGGACAATCAATATTAACCCCACTGACACCACAGTGCCCCTTCTGAGTGACTGCACAGAGGTGAGTAGAAGTGGTTGCCTTCCTTCTGGATGATTCACAAATGGCTAGGGAGGTGACCTCTGGACACTTCTGCACTAGCATTGAGCTCAGGTTTTCCCACTTAATTAAATAATTGTATGTGTTTTAAAATTCAGCATTTTAAAACGACTTTTCTTTTGTTTGTTTTTTGTTTGTTTTTAAAACAATTTGTTTTAAACAACTTGAATTTGCTGCTTATTAGATCAGCTTGAAAAGAAAACAAAATACATTTCATTCTGCCTTTGGTGACAAGTGTGGGTCAGGACTCTCAGCAAAAGTTGTGGTCAGGCATTTCAGGTTGCTATTATTTCCACACATTTTCATCCATTAAGTATCTTTTAGTTTGTGGTAGTTTTCTAAGCATGTATGTGACATTGAAATTGCTCCTTTGTTGTCACACCTGTTAGTTTTCAAGTGCTGAACTTGTTATGAATTAGCAACCTTTCTGTTGGTAATAAGATATCTTTCAAAATGAATATAAGTTTATTATATCTCTTGAAAGTTCTGTTTGAGAGGATCAGTGAGAGTTCTTTTAAACGGTACCTACACATTACAGATCAGTGAGAATATCTCAAATCTTCCGGTAAATCTTTCCATATAGGATGTCAGCAATAATATTCTAATATATTAAATATATTAAAATAAGACAAATTAAGACAGTTTTTAATACTACCTATATTATTGTCTCCTGAGGACTGGTTTAATTGGTATAATGATGGTAGATAAAAATGTCAAATATTTTTTTATTCACCTTAAGTTTATTACAGGTGAGGAGTTTATTTTTTTTAAATTTATTTTATTACAGGTGAGTTTATTTTTTAAATTTATTTTATTATTTTTAATTGACATGATAGTTGTACATATTTATGGGGCATAGTATGATATTTTCATACATCTCTACAAAGTGTAATGATCAAATGGGGTAATTAGCATATCCTTCACCTCAAACATATAATATTTGTTTGTGTTCGGTACATTCAAATCCTCTCTTCTAGCTGTTTGGAATTATACAATAAATTGTTGTTGACTGTAGTCTCTCTACAGTGCTGCAGAACACTTATTCCTCCCATCTAGCTGTAATTTTGTATCCATTGACCATCCTCTCTGTCCCCCTAGCCCTACCCTCCCCAGCTTCCATAACCACTACTCTATTCTCTATTTCTATGAGATCAACTTTTTTTAACTCCCACATATGAGTCCTGACTTACTTCACTGAACATAGTGTCTTCTAGGCTCATCCATGTTATTGTGAATTTTGTTCATTCTTATGGCTGAATGTTATTCTATTGTGCATGTATATCACATATCCTTTATCCAGTCATCTTTTATAGGTACTTACTTAGGTCGATTCCATAAAGTGAGGAGTTTGTTTTTAAATTGTTAAATGCAGTTCATCATTCATTCTTAAGTGCCATTGAACTATTTTGTGATATACTGATTGATTAATAATTAACCAGTACCAATAATGTTAATAAGTTAATAAATTGGAAAATTATAAAAGTGAAAGATAATATTGAATTTCAGTGCATTTTACTATTACCTTATTCCTAGGTAACTGAGTGTAGCTTTGTAGAGTGACTTAGTGAGAACCCTGAGTACTTTTGTATTTTAACCAAGCCAATAACTACAGTTAATTCAGTCAACAGCTGAGATTATCTTTGATAAAAGGCATATTAACTTTAAGACAAGAAATTTTCCACTTAAAATAATTCTGTAGCGGGCCGGCCTGGTGGCGCACTGGATAAGTGCGCCGCTTGGGAAGCGCGGTGGCGCTCCCGCCCGAGGGTTCGGATCCCACATACAGACCGGTTCCCGCTCACTGGCTGAGCGAGGCGCGGGAGCAACACCGAGGGTTGCAATCCCGTTTGCCGGTCCCCGGTCCGGTACGGGGGCAACACTGAGGGTTGCGATCCATTGCCGGACACGGAAAAAGACAAAAAAAAAAAAAAAAAAAAAAAAATTTTT